AACACACAGCTCACCCCAGGTTTTTAAATGTGCTTCTCTCTGCGAGCACAGGACTGTCACATATTATTATTATTATATGAATTATAGGAATATATCCAGAATCCAGCTGTGGAACCAGTTCAGGCAGTCTGCCTGGGCACAGGGAACACTCCTGGGGCTGATAAGGGCACTCTGAACATCAAAGCTCTTCCTGTGCAAGTATAAATGTGTAAATGGGTATTTGTATATAAACAGCCCACACAAAGTTTAACTACCAGCTCTGGGAGTGTTAATCCCATGTTCTAAGCAAACCCAGCCACACCAGCTTGCAGCATAAAGTTCTTTTTCCCTCTTTCATGCCTTCTGCTCCCCAGGATGAGCCTCAGGGACGCTCTCCAGGAACGGGGGAGGTTCATTCGGGAATGCAGGGGAAGGAGGAGGGGCACTCAGCTGCTCCTGCCAGCACAGCACAGCACAGACACCTGCCTGGGGACTAAAGCCATCATCACATCACATCCACAACTCCTGCATGAAATCCCAGGATCCCTGAGGCTGGAAAAGCCCTCCAAGATCAGAGTCCCAGCTGTGCCCACCCTGTCCCCAGAGCTCCGAGTGCCACCTCCAGCAATTCCTGGGACACCTCCAGGGCTGGGCACTGCAAACCTCCCTGGGCACTTCCAAGGCCTGAGCGCCCTTTCCATGGGGAAATTCCTGCTGCTGTCCCCCCTGAGCCTCCCCTGGCCCAGCCTGAGGCCGTTCCCTCTCCTCCTGTCCCTGTTCCCTGGCAGCAGACCTGTCCCTTCCTGGCAGGGAGTTGTAGGGAAAAGTCCCTCTGAGCCTCCTTTATTCTCCTTCAGTCTGCTCTGATTAAGACCATTTTAATTCCAAGGATTTTTTGAATTACCAGGAAGCACATTTGTCAGATACCAAGTTAATTTTTATGGTTTGTTTAAAATAATACCAAATCGTGGGAAAATTAATAACAAAATAAATAAATAAATTAACAAATCGAGGGAAAATTAAGTAAAATGAAAATACCTGGAAGGAAAAATAAGAACTGTACAAACTTAGCTAACCATAACGTGATAACCTAACGTGATTAACCACGTTATTAACTCAATCAACAGAATGGAAATGATTTCAGAGATTTTTTTGCACAAACAAAACCCCCTAACACTGGAAAAAGCATTTTGAACTTGGGGCTCATCCTTGTTAAAAAAAAACACCTGCTGAAGAGTTTTTATGGAGGAAAGGAACAACCACAGCCTGCAAACTCTGCTGGGACTCCCAGCTCTGTTCCAACCCCAGTGATTTGGGGGTTCCCAGCTGGCTGTGCCCACCCCTCTGCCCAGGTGTTCCTCACCTCTCCAGGCAGGCGAAGAGCCCGGCCTTGCCCCCCACGGCACAGAGCACCTTGGGCGCGCAGCGGGGCCGCGTCAGCAGCACGGTCTGGTGGGACAGTCTGTGCTCGGGCATGAAGTGGTACTTGAGGGCCTCGTTGAGCAGGTGCTTGCAGGTGTGGTCGTCCCTGATCAGGTGGTTGGCCTCGTAGAGCCGCGTGAGGAACTTGACGCTGAGCAGGGGCAGGCGCACGCAGTGCAGCAGCTGCGCCAGGTACTTCTGGCGCTCCTGCACGTCGTACTTGATCCAGGACTCCAGGGCGTAGAACACCGTCTCCTCCGTCACCACGTTCAGGCAGTCGTTGGACACGATCTCGTCCAGCTCCGAGTGCGTCAGCTCCAAGAACTCCTCGGTCTGGCACACATCCTCGAAGTTCTGGCAGATGAACTTGTTGGCCGCCAGGTACAGCTCGTGGCAGCCGTAGGTCTCGGCGAAGCGCGAGATGCCGATGCAGTTGCCGGGGTCCAGCTGGCTCTCCAGGAAGGCGCAGCACTCCTTGACCACCAGCTTGACCTGCAGCAGGTTGGCTGCGGGCAGCAGCGACTCCACGGTGTCCTGCGAGATGAAGACGGTGCCGGTGTAGGCGTACTCCACGATGGCCTGCAGCGCCGCCTCGTCCACGCACTGGAACTCCACCTCGGCGTTCTCCTTCTCCGACAGGTTCCCGGTGAACATGGCCTTGAAGTAGGGGCTGATGCTGGCCAGCACCACCTTGTGCGCGTGGATCTTGGCCTCGCCCACGCGCAGCACGACGTCGCAGAGCTCCTGGTGCTGCCGCAGCAGGTTGAGGCCCTGCAGGAGCTGCTCCGAGTGCAGGGGGGTCAGCTTGGCCAGCAGGAACGGCGGGGACGACGGGTCCATCTGGGACAAACACAGTTTGGGAGGTGTCACTTGGAGTTTTTGTAACGGTGAAAAGGCGTTTTTACGTTTTGGCTTTTAAATCGTACGGTTTGTTACTTCCCAGCTCCCTTTTCAAGCCTTACCTGCTACACTTTTTCATGCAAGTGAAACCCAGGACCTTCAAATGTTCATTGGCACTCTATGCTAGATTCAACCCTGAATTTAAAAACCCCACGACCATCACTTTTTTTTTGTTCTGGAGTCAAATGTCTATGATCTGATTGTTGGGGTGTCTGTGCAGGGCCAGGAGCTGGGCTGGTGATTCCTGTGGATCCCTTCCCACTCAGGACATTCTGTCATTCTACATCAAGGGTTTGAGAGAACTGACCAGTGGCTGAAATAGAAACAAACACAGATAACTAAAGAATACAACTGGCTTATTGGAGACAAAGCTTTCAAAGTTCTCCAACTTCTTTTGTGCAGTTCAATTGCGGCCTGCTTAGTGCTCCTGGGGAGCAGCCCAGTCCTGCTGTGCCTTTCTCTGGCAGGGAGCAGCTTCCCATTCCCATTTCCTCTGCCAACCCCCCCAGAGAGCCAGTGGGGCTGGAGCAGGTTCCTGTGCTGTGGATGCACACAGGAGAAACGGGAGATCCTCACCTCACCTCACCCTGCGGCTCCCACCACACCAGGAAATCCCTGCTGGGCCGGTCTCAGCCCCTGCAGAGCTCCCCAGGTGAGCAGGGGGACAGGCTGAGCACTCTGGAATTCTCTTCCCTGGCACTGGCAGCTGCCCACGCTCCCCAGGGGCGCAGAGGGGAGGATCCTCACTCCCCCACAGCTCCACAAACTCCTCTTCCCCCGCGTCCCCGCGTGCTTCGTGACACCGGAGCCCTCGGGTTCCTGCTCTCATTTCAGCTCCAGGAACGCTGCCAGGGTGCAGCAGCTCTTTGTTCAGCCCCCAGCGCTGCACGGCTGAGGGGTGGAGGGCAGGAACGTGTCAGGATCCTGGGCACGGGAAAGAATGCCATTGTTCTACAGGGAACACTGCAAGCACCCCACTCCCGAGCACAGCGGCTTCTCACTTGCCAAAATGATCTGCAAGATCGCGCTTCTTTTATCTTAATAATAAGTTCATGGTTTGCACAGCTCCTTAAATGACACCTCACTTGCAGGGGAGCCCACTTAAAAGTGCTTAATTGGAAATAATCACACGGGTTGCCAGAGTTTAAATACAGAATACAATAGCAGTGACAGGGAAGGGGCTGAAAAACCTCTTACCCACAAAGAGATAAATAAGCTCAACTATTATCACTCTGTACTGGAAGAATTAACTGAAAGAAACTAATTGAAGTGCATCTGCAGAAGGCAAGATCATATATAACAGTGTTTTCCCTATCACAATTTTGCAGCACGAATTACACAAGGGAGAATTAAGAAAGTTAAAATAATAAAAAAAAAAAAATCCAGCAGCTAAAAGAATGTATTCCGATTTTGTGTTTGCATTCAGTTCCTGACTTCATCATACAAATACACAAAAATCAGGCACCACCACAGGCAAAAAGGAACAGTCACGGTTCAGCTGCAAAACCTGCCAAAACACCTGTAAATAACTATATTTAAGGCATTCTGCAGCAATAACGCTTCGAGTACCGCCCTGGCAGAACCTCTCACCCCCCTGCACGGCCAGGCTCGCCCGTCCCGGGGATCTGCTGGGTTTTATTTTACTGCTGAGCGAGAAATCAGCAGCTGGAAGATGAAGCAGCCCTGGAATTGTGACACTCAGCAGACGGTCACCCCCGGGCTGTCAGAGCCCCTCAGCCTGTGCTACAAACTCAGCTGGAACGGCAAGAGCGGCTGGAAACGAAGAGGTGAAGCAGGGGAATAAACAGAGCTGAGGGAGCGGGGAGTGCTGAGAGCAGCAGGAGGAGCTGCGGGCTCTGCCCTGCCCCGAGCGGGGAGCGAGCGCTCACCGGGCCCGCCGGGCCGGGGGAGCGGCTGGGGCTGCCCGGAGAGCCCCGGCACCGGGCAAGAGAGCAAAACACAGCTCAAGCTGCGCTACTTCTGCAATTCCTGCCCTGCCCGCGTTTGTGCCTCAGCCCGGTGCCCGAGCGCCGCTGCCGGCCGGGGACAGGGCTCGGAGCGGTCTGGGCTGGGAAAGGTGTCCGTGCCCAGGCTCCCAAAGCACGGCGGGGCCCCGCCACTCTCCCCTCACACGGGGGTCTCCCCGTGCCGGCCGGGCCCCCCGCGTACCCGCACCCCGCCCGGGGACACGGGAAGGCGGCACTGCGGCTGTGTCGCGGCTGTTCCCGCTGTTCCCGCTGTCCCCTCTCTCACCTGTGCCGGGGTGCCCCAGGCCCGGCCCGGCCGCGCCGCCGCCTCGTTCCGCCGCTCCGCCACCGCCCCTACGTCACTTCCGGCCGCCCCGCCCCCCGCTCCCCGCCAATCAACGGCCGTGCCGCCGCACACACCCACACCAGCCGTGCCCGGGCGGTACCACACCGGCACCGCGCGGGGGGGACGCCGCGGGTTCGCTTCCCCGGAGCTTTTGTTTTAGGCCCGGCGCCGCCGCTCTCGCGGCGCTGCTCTCCGCTTCTCCGCCACTGCGTCCTCGGCCCGTTCCACCCGCAGCGGCCTGAAGAGAAGTCGGGGGGGCACGCGTGTCCCCCCCCCGCTCGCCGCGGCGTGGTGGGCGCCGCGCCGGCGCGGCACGCGGCGCCCCCTGGCGACGGCGGCGTTGCCGGGCGGGGCCTGAGGGCCGCCCATGGCCGCGGCCTCGGGCCATGGCGGAGCCGCCGCCCGGAGCCGCCGCACCGCGGGGCCGCGGCCGGGCCTGGGAGCGCGGCGGCTCCGCGCAGGACGGTGAGAACGGCACGGAGCCCTCCGGCACCGCTCACAACGCTTCGAGCACGGAGCTCCCTGGACCCGCTTTGAACGGTTCGGGCACGGATGCCCCCGGCCCCATTCACAACGGTTCGGACACGGAGCCTCCCGGTCCTAATGAGGACGGGCCGGGCACGGAGCCCCCCAGCCCCGCTCACAACGGTTCGGACACGGAGCCCCCCAGCCCCGCCGAGGACGGGCCGGGCACGGAGCCCCCCAGCCCTGAGGAGGACGCGGCTCCCCCGCTGGGGCCGGAGCTGTCGCTGGTGCCGCCGGAGCTCCGCGCGCGGCTGCTGGACCGGCGGGACTACCGGGGCCGTGCCCAGGCCGTGGAGCAGCTGCGGCGGGCGGTGGAGGGCTGCAGCCCGGCCGCGCTGAGCGCCGCGCCCGCCGCCGCCCTGCTGGGGCTGATCGCGCTGCTGGACGCGCTGCTGCACGACCCCAACTTCGCGGTGGCGCGGGGCGCGCTGGAGGTGACCCGGCTGCTGGCGCTGCGCCTCGGCCGCCGCGTCCCCGCCGTGCTGGCCCCGCTGGTGTGCGCGGCCGCCCGGGCGCTGGGGGACGCGCAGCCGGCCATGCGGCGGGACAGCGGGCGGCTGCTGCTGCGGCTGATGGCGGCGGCCGGCCCGCGGCCCGTGCTGCGCCTGCTGCTGCAGGAGCGGCTGCTGCGGCACCGCAGCGCCCGGCTCCGCGAGGAGCTGCTCAACACGTGCATCGCCGCGCTGCTCACCTACCCCGCCGCCCAGCTGGACCTGCCCCAGCTGGCGGCCGCCCTGGCCCCGGCGCTGCTGGACGCCAAGCGCAGGGTCCGGCACGCTGCCATGGAGGCGCTGGCCGCGCTGGGCTCGGCCCTGGGCCCCGGCAACAACGGCGCGCTGCTCCGAGCCCTGGAGGCGGTGGAGCTGCGGGCCGGCGGAGCGGGGGTCGTGCACGCCGTGCAGGCCCGGCTGGCCAGGAAGGTGCTGCCCCGGCTGGGCGAGCAGGGACTCGTGGAGTACGGAGTGCCCTCGCCCTCCTCCGGGCACTGCCGCGGGCCGTGCCAGCCGCCCGGAGCCGACACCGAGTGGCTGCTGATGGGCAGCAGGAGCCGGAGCGCCCACGGGCACTGCGGGCACCCCGCCTGTGCCCAGCGCCGAGCCAGCCCCAGGAGAGTCCTGAGCGCCGGCAGAGGCAAAAACAAGCTGCCCTGGGAGAACGAGCCGGCTGCGGACAGGGAAGGTGGCTCGGGGGTGAGGATGCCCGTCACGAAGGGTGTGGAGCAGGTATGTAACTCCCTCCTCGGCTGTTTTTATCCTTAAGGCGTTTCCAAAGGGAGGATGAAGAGTTGTCAGAGGCTTGTTAAGCATGGGAGGTACGGCTGCTGGTTCACGTTTCGTGGATCTGTATGCTTAGATCGCTCTGGGAAGGTAAACTTGGGAATTCCTTATGTCAGATTCAACCAAGCAATTTACCAGAGTACTTATCGCTTACAAAAAAATAGATGAAACTCTTTTTGACGTTAGCTGGACTACCTGAGGCACTCCTTAATTCTGACAGCAGTGACCTGATTGTCGTGTCAACAGTGACAGGTGAACCCCAGGGAGTGAGCACAAAAATGGGAAAAACAGCCTTTATTTGTATCTTTATTGATCTAAAATATACACTTTGTATCTTTTGTTGAAAGCGCGGGGCTGACTGCAGAGAGTTTCCTGTTTGTGGGAAAACTGAGCTGCTCCTTCAGCTCAGGCTCCGAAGGCAGAGCTGCGGGTGGGGCTCCTTGGGACGAGCCTGGGGGCTGCCAAGTGCCTGTGTGGCTCTTGCTCCTTGGGCTGATCCAACCAGGAAAAATGTAGGTCAGGCTGGAATAGTGATTGTGGTTGAGTTTGGGGGTAGTCACCTACTGCCCACGTCGGCAGCTGGAAAGGGGAGGAACCTCTGGAAAACTGTCCAGGTTCTTTTTCCTTTGCCAGTGGTTCTGTGACGTGTTTTGGATACCACACATGGGGGTGTACCTCTGTGTGAGGGCTTTTCTGTTGGGTTTTGGGGTTTTTTTAAAGTGGACACGTTTGATTTATCACAATTTGATCTCCTGTGAGGGAGCTGAAGCAAACAGAGCTCCTCAGGAAATCAGAGTCCGTGCAGAGGATATTCCTCAGTGCCACATTTACGTACTCAGATTTTAATTCTCAGTTGCTTGGTAACTTGTTGCTGGGCTGGATGAGGTCATGGACAGTGAGTGCTCCTCTGCAGCCCGGCTGTGGGGCAGGCCCTTCACAAAATAAACTCAGTTCATGTTTCTGTACTGCCAAACCTTGAGCTTCATGCCTAGACTTGAGTGCTCATCTCTTTCCTTGGTGCCTGTGTTACCTTTCCCAAGGCTCCTAAAGTCACCTGTGTCTTCCTGAGCTGATGAATCAGTTCCTTTGGGGGTTGGGACAGCAAGGTGTGTAGGAAACACCTCTGGAGCAAGAAGGGTTTCCTTTTTGGAACAGTTTTTCAGTATTAACTAATACAGCTTGTAAAAAAAAACAACCCGTGCCAGTGTTCACCTGGTAGGTTGGGCCAAGCCCTGTGCTGCTGCTGCTGCTGTTTTTCTGGAGCTGTGAACAAAAATCAAGTTAGGACGGGCACCAACACCTGGCTGGGGCTTGGAAAGGAGGAACATTCCCTGCGTGGGACAACCCCTCTCCAGGGAAGTCAGGGAGGGGCTCTGGAAATGGTCCTTTCCTGAAAGGAATGAAGCCTTTGTACGTGTGGTTGTGTTTATCTCTGTATGGGGAGGAGTTTCCAGCCCTGCAGAGAGGGAGAGAAAGCAAGTGGCCAATGGGTTCTGTTTGGTTAGTGTGTAAAGTGCATTTGGGGGTGGGGTAAATCATCAGTTCCTGGAATGGTTTGGGTGGGATGGGACCTCAAATCCCACCCATCCCAGCCCTGGATGTGCAGGGACAGCTCCCACTGTCCCAGGCTGCTCCAGCCCCAATGTCCAGCCTGGCCTTGGGCACTGCCAGGGATCCAGGGGCAGCCACAGCTGCTCTGGCAATTCCAGCCCAGCCAGCAATTCCCAATTCCCAATCTCCCATCCATCCCTGCCCTCTGGCACTGGGAACCTGATTTGGCACAGGATGAACTGGAGTCCTGTTGGTCAGACCTCAGTTACTGTAAAGGAAACTTGAAACATGGGGATGGTTTAATAGTGGAATATTTACCTGATTGCTGTAGTTGACACCTTTGCTGCTCCTTCTTCACATCCTGATCCTTCATCTCATCACACCTGACTGAAGCTCTCTAGGGCAGGGGACGCTGTCCAGTGGTGTTGGTGACCTGGGGGAGCAGCTGGAGCTGGGCTGGGGTTGGATGTCAGGAAAAGTTCTTCCCCTGAAGGGTGGAATGAGCTCTGGAAAAGCTCCCCAGGGAATGGGCACGGGAACGTTTGGGCAGCGCTGCCAGGGATGCCCAGGCTGGGATTGCTGTGGGGTCTGGGCAGGATCCCTGTGGGTCCCTTCCAGTTCAGGATACTCCCTGATTTTCTGTCTTGGATGCAAGAAAGTGAATTGTGTTTTTGGTCTGGGAATGTAAAGCTGGCTGGTGTTCCCTGGACCAAGGACATTCCAGGAGCTGTGAGAGTCCAGCTCTTGTCCCTGGGCCATCCAGGATCTGTGTGGGATGTTACCCTGGAACTGCCCTTAGCTCCCTCAGTAAGGAAAATGCATTTATCAGGCATAAATCTCAGGCAGTCAACTGGTTTCTGTACATGTCAAATATTAATTATTAATTCAGACATTCCTATCAAATGAATTTGCTTAAAAATTAACTTTTGGAGTCATTGTGTGGCTGAAAGGATGCATGGAAGCAGATTAATGTTTAAGGCTGTTTTCCTGCCGGTATTTTTAGGGTCATGTTACAGAGAGATTGTCCAGGGCTGTGTCTAGACTCTGCTGATCAGATAAGATGTGAGTAAAACATCTGTGAGTTAATGTGTACTAAAAATAAAAGGTAGATAAGGCATATTGGCCTGAGGGGTTTGTCTGGCAGCCTCTGGGCATTCTCCATCCCTGGAGGCACTCGGGTGTTCAAGGGCAGGTTGGAATATGGAATATTGCAGGGTGAAAGTTACCCCTGGGACACACAGACCCTGCAGGCTCTGACCCTGCTGCTGGAGGTACCTTTGGTACCCAGAGGTTCCTTTTGGGGAAAACAAGAGCATTTGGACATTTCACTGGACATTTAAGCCCTTTCACAAAGTTCCTGTGAACTCTGGGATCTCCTCTAACTGCAGATGTGGAATTCTTCTCATTTCCATATTGATCTGATAACGGGAGAACTTGATAGCTGGGCTTTGCTGAGGTTCAAATGCCCTGGGAAATCAGATTTATGGAACAAAACCTCTTTGTTTTCCAACAATCAGAGGGACACAGAGGGTGGCCAGTCTGTGGGGTAAAGTGTCCCTTCCTTGGGTGTCCCTCTGGGACCTGAGGCCTGGTTTTTCTGGGAGAGATTTTGGGGAGATATTTGTCTTAGTGTGGTGGTGGTTTCTTCCTGGGAGAACATTGCTGGTGCTGCTGGTGTTGGATTAGGAGCACTTCTGGTGTCATCCCAGCTCCACAGGGAGGGAATGTTTGCCTGTGATTCCAGGCTGGACAGGGCTTGGAGAAACCTGGGACAGAGGAAAACATCCCTGCCCATGGCAGGGGTGGGATGGGATTTATCCACCCAAAACATTCCAGGATTCCACGATGGGTCACTCTCAAGGGCTGTGGTGGATGGATTCAGGTATTTTCCAACATTTGTGGAATTTAAAGGAATCTGAACCCATTCGAGAAATCCCTTTGCTCGGATCTGTTGTGTACTCCAGGGAAATATCTGGCAGCTTTGGGTTTGCTTTATTTCCCACCACCCCCAAGCCTGTGTTTAGTGAATTTGCAATGCTGTAATTATAATTTGTGTACAAGGAAGCAGAGTTTTCACTCCTGGAGCTGGGATGGGAACAGCTGAGCAAAGCTCTGCAGTCATGGCAGTGTTGGAATTCACTCCTTCTGCACGTGTAGCTTTATCTGTATGGAAAAATGGGATGAAAGTTTATCCTGTGCCAGCTCCTAAGCAGAAAATTCCCTCTCTGCCAGCTGAAACCAGGCTGTGGTGATGTGAACAGGGAACGGTTCATTAAGGATCCATGGATGGAATGATGTTTGGTGATTGCAGGAATGGGAATGCCAAGGTCTCACATCTTCATCCCAACTTGTAATAACCTGCAATAAACCACTTCAGCATTTTCCTGCTGTTCTTTCCCTCCTGTGTCCCTGGGAAGGGAGGGCAGAGCAAATACAGCCTGGGAATGATTTAAATCACTGATTTTACTAATTAAATCAGAAATTTATTTAAAGCATCACCTTGTCTTTGTTAGATATTGCTATTATTGAGATTTTCTCCCTTCCTGTAGCCAGTTCTCAGTAAAAGCTGCTGGTGTTGCCAGGTACAGTTTTAGACTGAATCTGGAGTGTGTGGTTTGCAAGGAACTGTTCCATTCTGGGATTTTGGGGTTCTGTTGTGTATTTAAGCACTTCCCCATCTAAAGCACATAATTCAAAAAGTCAGTGCTGAATTTTTAATATTAAATTTTTAAAACAGTGCTATTTTCTACCAGTTTATTTTGGTGGAATTTTTTTTTCCCCTTTCAGTGTGAGTAGTTTTAACCTGTATTTTAGCAAGAACTGCAAAACAGCTGCAATGCTCTGTAATGATTAAAATGTTTGAGTATTGGGTAGGTGGGAAAGTCAAGCTCGTGTGAGGATGTTTGTGCTGTTTGCACAGAGCAGTGCTTTCATGTCACACATTTTTATTTTATTTATTTATTTTGCTTTTAATTTTTATTTATTTATTTTGCTTTTATTTTTTTATTTATCTTATTTATTTTGCTTTTAATTTTTATTTTATTTTATTTATTTCACTTTTATTTTATTTATTTTATTTATTTTGCTTTTATATTTTTATTTTATTTATTTTGTTTTATTTATTTATTTTGATTTTATTTCTTATTTTATTTATTTTATTTATTTATTTTATTTATTTATTTTGCTTTTATTTTTTATTTTATTTTTATTTTTATTTTTATTTTTATTTTATTTTTTATTTTATTTATTTATTTATTTTGCTTTTATTTTTTATTTTATTTATTTTATTTACTTATTTATTTTGCTTTTTAAATTTATTTTATTTTATTTATTTATTTTGCTTTTATATTTTTATATTATTTATTTTATTTTATTTATTTATTTTGCTTTTATTTTTTATTTTATTTATTTTATTTACTTATTTATTTTGCTTTTTCAATTTATTTTATTTTATTTCTTTATTTTGCTTTTATATTTTTATATTTATTTTATTTTATTTATTTTATTTACTTATTTATTTTGCTTTTTAAATTTATTTTATTTTATTTATTTATTTTGCTTTTATTTTTTATTTTATTTATTTTATTTACTTATTTATTTTGCTTTTTCAATTTATTTTATTTTATTTCTTTATTTTGCTTTTATATTTTTATATTTATTTTATTTTATTGATTTATTTTGCTTTTATTTTTTATTTTGCTTTTATTTTATTTATTTATTTTGCTTTTAATTAATTTATTATTTTTATTTTATTTTATTGATTTATTTTGCTTTTATATTTTTATATTATTTATTTTATTGATTGATTTTGCTTTTATATCTTTATATTATTTATTTTATTTTATTGATTTATTTTGCTTTTATATTTTTATATTATTTATTTTTTTATTTTATTGATTTATTTTGCCTTTCCCTACAGCTGGCTGCATCCAGTGATTTCCCTCACTCCCCGAAGCTCCGTCCCTCGCAGGGAATCGCGGGCAGTGAGGAGCTGTTTCTCAGCAGGAGCAGAGCTTGCAGGCCTTCACTGCAGCCCAGTGTGGAGCTGAACCTGGAGCATTCTGTGCTCGCTGCTGGTGAGTGGGGCACAGGGACCTGCTGGAGCTGCCAGGGCACACCAGAGCTGAGTGCTTCAGTGGCCAGAAGGGTCTGAAAGGCCTGGGCAAGACCAGACCTGAGTGGTTGTGTCCCCGTGGCCCTGGGCTCGGTCCTTGTCCCCTCTGGGGACTCCTGGTCCTGCCAAGTTTGCTCCCCTTCATTGTCACACACTCAGAGAGGGGATTGTTCTCTTGCCCCCCTGCAGTTCCCAGCTGGAGCAGCGCCCTGGAACAGCAGCCAGTCCTTTTCCCTTTTTCCCTTTCCCTTTCTGAGGTTGCTTAGAGACTCTGGAATTAAGTACTCAGAGCGTATTTGAGTTTCACACTCTGAGCTACACACAGTCTGCATTCCCTGTGAAATATTACTGGATATTCTCTGGTGAAGTACTGACTTGCTTCTTTATGTTCTCTTTTGGAAGGTGCTCTGGGCTCTCATCAGCCCCAGATTTCAGGGAAATGTGGGACACTTGGACACCCACAGGCACGTGGGAAGAGTGGCAGTGTGGGCTCTGATTTGCAGTTTTTGGGATTAAATAACTGTCAGCAGGACAAAGGTATGTGACTTCTGCCGACGGCCTAAGGCAGGACACGTCACTTTGGAGCTGTCTCTTTGTTCCTTGGCTTCCCTAAGAAATGGAAACTGTTATGGAAGGTTGTTCAGTCCCTCTCCAGATGGAGAATGGCTCCTCCTTCCTGTGGGATTTAATTTGTGGCTGTTCATTTACAGCCCCACCTTTGATCTGTGTCAGGGTGTTGGAGAAAAGGTGCTGCTGTGGGAGGATCACAGCAGTGTTTGATCTACTTGCATCACTCTGTTTTTTAAATATAGTTCTCCAAAACATGCCTGAGAAATCATTTCAAGGCTTAAACTCACATTTGAAGGGGAATGCAATTTTCAGAATGAAGTTGGTTGATTTGTCTGCTTGCATGGGCAAAGCCTTCAGGCTCTGACTGCCTAGTGGTGCATTATTTCATGGCAAATTATTCTTATGATAGATTATTTCATTGGAAATTATTTTTATGGTGCATTATTTCACTGGAAATCATTCTTACAGTGTATTATTTCATTATAAATTCTTATCACAAGACCGAGTTACCACAGGCACTCTTCTCTTTTCCTTTTCTCAGTTTGTTCCAGCCTCAGTTTTCCCAGCAAGACCCAGAGGAGTTTTTGCACTCAGGCAGAGCCCACCACGTCCTTCCAAGGACCCAGTGCCAGCCAGGGCACCTTCATCCTGCCCTCCTTCCCCCTGTCATCCCCCAGGAACAGCCCCAAGCAGCTCTCTGCTCCTGCTGCCTCTCCAGGGAAGTCCCAGGAGGATCCCAGGAGCCTCTCCAGCTCCTGGCCCCTCAAAAGCTTCGAGGGGCTGCCTAAGCCTGGTTGCCAGAGGCAGCTGCTCAGCCAAAAGCCAGGAGACAGCACAGGTGGGAATGTTCTCAATGTGATAAAAAGGGATTTGGGAGTTGTATTTTGAGGGATTTTTCAGTGGTCACAAAGTCCCCAGTGGTAGCTGAGAGGGAATTGGGCAGGTGCAGTGAGGCACGGGAGGGATTTACTGAGTTATTTACTTGTGGCTCCACTGCTCACATCCCCACAGGCTGCTGTTCAAAAGTGGAGCCTTTGGATGTGTCATAAAGCAAAATATGCTACAGCTTTGCTTTTCTTAATGTCTCAGGGAAAGGTCTGTCCTGCAGCTAAAATAAACCCCAAAATGGAGCACTTGCAGGGAAAGTCAGTGCAGAAATACCTGTTCATACCCCAGTTAACCCACGTGCAGAAAAAGGGTTACTTGGCCTTTTTGCCTCTTCATTTGAATCATGGAATCCCAGAATGGTTTGGATTGGAAGAGACCTTCAAACTCATCCAGTTCCAACCCCCTGGGTTTTATATGCTAAATCTAAAAATACCTAAAAACAACCTAAACCTCTGTTTAGGTTAAACTGCTTCCTAATCGCTCAGGAGGTTTCTGAAACAAAGTTACGGTTTTGCATTGATTAAAGAAAACTGTTTGAATTTTCATCTTCACTGAGACCCATGTTTTTGTGCATATATAGAGAAAATTTCCAACTGAATGCTTTGGGAATTCCCTGCCCCTAGACTGTGACTCTGCCTTGTAGATGTATTTATCTAGCTTGCTGTATTGCTCTATTTATTATTTGTTACTGTATTTATCACTTACCATATGTTTTCCATACACATTTTGATTTTTTCTGGTTCTTTGGAGTCCTTCTGTTGTTACAGCAGCTTCCATGGAAGTTTGGGGATGTTTTTCTCTTAATGAAGGAAGTTAATTAGTTTTTAAAGGGACTAATAGGAGGTGCATGGACTTTGTTGATCCTTGTGTGTCCCTTCCAGCTGAGGATATTTTGATTCTATGTTGGTGTGCACATGCAGGAAACACTGATTTCTATTTTCCTAAAGGAAGGAGACACTAAAAGTGGAATAAATTGTTACCTCAGCCTGCACAAGTCTATTTTTAACACTCACTCCATGGCAGAAGGAGTTTTGTAGATACAGAGCTGAGAGGTGAAGTTTGTCCTTCACCTCTGTCCCTGACAGTCCTTGTGTGTTCCAGGAGACAGCCCGCTGGAGAAGCATTCCCTGCAGCTGGAGAAGCCCCCCCTGCAGCTGGAGAAGCATTCTCTGCAGCTGGAGAAGCATTCCCTGCAGCTGGAGAAGCCTTCCCTGCAGCTGGAGAAGCATTCCCTGCAGCTGGAGAAGCCCCCCCTGCAGCTGGAGAAGCCCCCCCTGCAGCTGGAGAAGCATTCCCTGCAGCTGGAGAAGCATTCCCTGCAGCTGGAGAAGCCCCCCCTGCAGCTGGAGGAGCGCCCGCTGCAGCTGGCGGGGCTGCGGGGGTCCCGGCCCGTGCCCCCCATC